CAGTGAGCGTGTCCCCGAAACGCCTGTGGACGTGGTGCTTCGTGTGTGCATGTTTCTCTACATAGCATGTTCTCGGCGTGCCCACCGCGGTGTTGCAGGGCCTGTAGCTGGCGGAAGGACCTCTTTGGAGCAGATGCACGGCCGTTGGCTTGGGAGTTAATTAGATGCCACACAGAACTTGACCTCTAGCTTCGTCCTCCAATTTCCCTCCTCGGTGTGAACATCTTGTGTTCCAGAAACTCTTCAACCAAGAGAATCTTGCTTTTTGTGGATGTGCTCAAAGGAAAGTGGTTGTAGAAAGAAGGAAAGAAAAGTTTTTTGTTTGTTTGTTTGTTTGTTTTTTTGTTTTATGGTTTTGGCCTTGGAAAAAAAGGAACAAGGAACCTGCTAATTCAAGCAGTCTACTGCTCATCCATCATGTGGCTCAGAAATTCGGAACATCAAGTCACGTCTCCCGGTCGTCCTGCTTGTGTCTCAGTGGTTTAACACTGAATTTTCTCGATAAAAAAGTGATATATGCTTAGGATAACAATGCCATGTTACAGCAAAGCACCTAACGGAAGCCTCTCCCCACCCACATGCACAGGCACACAGACACGGGGCGGTAACCGCGGTGAAGTTCGGTATAAACCCGGTTTTGTTTTCCTCTGCGTTTACTAACATCTCAAAGCTACGATGACTTTTACAGAAATGTAATCAGACTCTCCGTTGTTTTTCTGCAACGCAAGATTTTACTTAATTATGGCATTCCTACCGTGAGCACACACAGACCTACCTCATCCCTTGTCGTGCCTGCATGGTGCCCCGTTATGTGATGTACCAGCATGGAAGCCAGCCTTATTGATACTCTTATTGGTACTAGAACCAGTCAGTATTGCTGTGATGAACACACTTGCACATACATTTTTTTTTTTACACAGTATGTATGTTTGTGAGATAACACTCTTCAAAAACTTGAACTACTGTGCCATATGATTTTTTTTTTTTTTCAAGAAAGGGCATTGTTATGACTCAGAGAAGGCAGTCTTCCATCCCTTCCCTCACTGGTGTGGGTTGGACCCGGGATGCCTTCAGTCATGGAATCCTTGTGGGGTTCTGTCAGACTTGGGGCCCGGAGCCCAGGCCCTGAGGCCTCCTAGGGAGAGGCCTACAGAAATGTTTTTGACCCCAAAAAAACGGTGTTGGCTCTAACATAAGAAAGTTGCAAAATAAAAATAAACGTGATTCAATGTCTTTCCTGTGAACTTCATTAATGGTTAGATTCAATATTTGCTTAAAAAATATTTCTCTCATGAGAACTAGTGAAGAGTCTGATGATCACAAAATCAAATAATTTCAAAAGCACATTCTCAAGATCTTTTCAAGGTTACAGGAAAGGGTCATCTTGAATCTGGGAAATGGCTGCCTTTTAATGTGTTTGAAATGCTGTGCAGAAACCTCCAAAAGGAAGCATGCAGTTTGGCTCAGTGGATAGAGCATCAGCCTGTGGACCGAAAGGTCTCAGGTTCGATTCCGGTCAAGGGCATGTACCTTAGTTGCGGGCAGGAAGCAGGGATGTGCAGGAAGCAGCTGGTGGACGTTTCTATCCCTCTCCCTTCCTCTCTGTAAGAAATCAATAAAATATATTTAAAAAAACAAAAAATATAATGAGTTAAACCATAAACATCTCTCCCACATGATCTAGTTTCCTTAGACATTTCAAAGTCACCCCCACATTCAATCTGTTTGATTTGCACACACACTTCCAGCAGCTAACACAAAAGACCAAAATTCGGGTGCAGTCTTTCTTCCTAAGCATCCAAACACTAAACCAAAAAAGTTTACACATTCATTGTTTATAATTTTAATTACATTTTCTTTGACATGCTTTAAATGAAAAACCACAGAACCAATTTCAAATTCCTTGAAGCATTTCAAATTAAGTTGGAAGTATCAGATCCTCTAATACTTGAAGTTATTTTAAATATTTCAAGTATCTTTAATAACAAAATATCACAATAATAAAAACCTTTCCCTCATTTGACATGGATTACTGATACGGGTTTGATTTACTTGCTGTAATCTCTTGGTGTATAATATTTTGACACCCCACCAAGATGTCATATTCCATCCAAAAACAGGACTGTGATTTGTTCACGGTCAGAGATTGTGGGCTGGTCACAGGACTGGATGCTACTTCCGTGATGGCTTGACCCCATCTTCAGGCCAAGGAACTAAACCCCTTCTTGGAGTCATCTTGCACTTCCTGCAATTTACCTTTTCTGCAACTTTTAAATATATATTTTATTGTGGTTATTTTTTTACAGAGAGGAAGGGAGAGAAATAGAGTTAGAAACATCGATCAGCTGCCTCCTGCACACCTCCAACTGGGGATGTGTCCCCAACCCAGGTACATGCCCTTGACCGGAATGGAACCTGGGACCCCTCAGTCTGCAGGCTGATGCTTTATCCACTGAGCCAAACCGGTTAAGGACCTTTTCTGCAACTTTTAAAGGCCTGACATGTTTCAGTTGAGCTTCTGTTACCTACTGCCCAGATTGCAATTTTGCTGCCTCATTCGATTCTGCTTTTTTTTTTTTTTTCATTTATTACTTTTAAAAATTGGCTTGTATAATTATTGCAGGAAGCAACTTATTAGCAAGATTTTTCTTGTGTGTTGCCCTTATGCGTCTTCATGTTGATGAAGAAAAAGATCTTGAGGGTGTAGTGTTTCATGTGTTTCTTTCCGTGATGTCTGTAGTTTTAGGTTATTTCAGTCAACGTTACTTGATAAATGCACATTTGGCTCTAGTTTGTTCGTTCATTTATTTATTTCTGGTGTGCCTGCCATGATGGTGGTGCTGCACCTGGAAGAAGCATGCCAAGATCAAGTCTACAGTAGGATGCCAAAACCAGTTTGGCTCAATGGATAGAGCGTCGGCTTGGGGACTGAAAGGTCCAGGGTTCGATTCCCGGTCAAGGGCATGTACTACCTTGGTTGCAGGCATATCCCCAGTAAGGGGTGTGCAAGAGGCAGCTGATCGATGATTCTCTCTCATTGATGTTTCTAACTATCTCTCTCCCTTCCTCTCTGTACAAAAATCAATAAAATATATTTTTTTAAAAAGTCTACAATAGGAGCAAAACAAGTTCACTGAACACTAACTCGTGTTCTCCAACCCTTTCACCAAATAATCTTTAGCCAAGGCTTGTGATCTCTAATAAACTGTGAACCCTAACAGAAGGAAGAACCGAACACAGTGCGTGTGGACACTCACTGAGGAGGAGTCCTTAGGAGAAACAAGCACTTCCATTTCCCCCATCAGCCTGCTCATGGACCAACTGGCTCTCTGTTCAGGGCACGTAAGCCCGTTTCCTCCTAGGATAGTTTGAGACATTAAATAACCATCAAGGGACAAATCGTTCACTGGCCTAAAGTATAGAGTCCCCAGAAATAACAGTTTCATATAAAATGTTTTGATGTTTTACTGTAATAGAATCCATGTTTCTCCCCCCACACACACACACACAATGTCTGGAAATTCTGGCTCAGTTGTTCACGGGGTTGCTGTGAGGATTAAATGATTAAAGGCTGAGATGCTTAGTATAGTGCCCGGCACATAACAAATACTCAGTTGATGTTAACTATTATTAGCTGTTATGAGGCTGAAGTTAGCTGCAAACTCCCTGTCAGCCACAATACCCAGCACAGTCCTGGGCACAGAGTATAATATTTTAGGTCGATGCTTAGTGGGTGATCTCCACCATTTCAGATATCTTCCCCACACAAAATACTATAGCTTATTTTATGTCTTTAAAAAAAAAACTGTGCTGAGTATTGATTTTTAAAAATATATATTTTATTGATTTTTTTACAGAGAGGAAGGGGAGAGGGATAGAGAGCTAGAAACATTAACCAGCTGCCTCCTGCACACCTACTGGGGATGTGCCCGCAACCAAGGTACATGCCCTTGACTGGAATCGAATCTGGGACCCTTCAGTCCACAGGCTGATGCTCTATCCGAGCCAAACCGGTTTCGGCAGTATTGATTTTTTAAAAAACAAAAACATCAGCTGTTATTCAACGCAACCAACTTGATTTTATTTTGTTTCATTTTGATTAAGTTCTGCTTTTATCTGAATGTTCAGGTTTTCTTGTTTGCTAATGATGATGATGATGATGATGATGCATTTAAGGCAATATATTTTCCTCAGAGTACTGCTTTGACTGCATCCCACATATCCACGTATATGTGGCATGCACTCCTAGCAACCCTGTTAACAAAGCAATGAAGCAATGGAGTGACTGCTCAGCACAGGTCAGCTGCTTTACCCTCAGCTTGTGCTCAGCCAACAAGCTTACTTGGCATCACAGGGTTCCAGGTGAGCACCTCATCCCAAGCGACTTTCTCCACTCCTTCTGCGCTTGTACCACCTCCTCTCGGCTCAGGGGGCGGGCCTTGTCCTCACGCCCTCTGACCCCACCCCCTCCAGGTTCCCATGACAGCGCGCAAGTGTCGGAAACACATTCTATCGTCACGTCTCTTTACGCTTTCCCAAGGCTCTGAGAGGACGGTGGGGGGGAAAAATAGTCCCTTGGCAAAAGGCGTTCTCCTCGCCAGGAGGCGGGTCCAGGGCGGGGCTTCAGGGTGGAAGGAACCGGAAGTCCGCGATTCCCGCCACGGGATTGGCCCCGCGCTCCACGGGGGCGGGCTCACGCGGGCGGAGGAATCCACGCCGAGCGCCGGGCGGCGCGCCGCCTCCATTTAGGGCGCGGAGCGCGGCGCGGGCGGCAGTTGCTGTGGTTTCCGCCCTGGGCCGGCTTCGTTCTGGGCAGAGCGGACGCTCCCGGACGGACGCGGCGCCTCGAGTCCAGGTGTGTAGGTGGCTGCGGACCCCTCGAGGTCAGTCCCTCGGCGCCCCTTGTCCGAGCCGGGGCCGGCCCCCCTGCGTCACCGGCGCCGCTTTGGGGCCCGCGTCCCGGGCGCCCCGGCGCGGCCGCGGAGAAGGCCGCCTGCGAGATGTTCAAGAACACGTTCCAGAGCGGCTTCCTCTCCATCCTCTACAGCATCGGCAGCAAGCCGCTGCAGATCTGGGACAAGAAGGTGAGGGGCGATCAATCAATCAATCAATCAATAATCAATCAATAATCAAATAAAAAATAAATTAAGGTAAGGGGGCGGCGGGGCGGGCTGCAGGGGGCGGGGAGTGGTGTCGGGTTGGGGCTTGGGTGAGGCCAGGCCGGGGGGGATGGGGAGGGATGGGGCGTCGTATAAGCGGCCGGGGGTCCATGTGGGTGGGAGGGTCCCGGGCCCGGGGGCCGAGGTGTGAGGTTAGGTCGGTGGTTCCGCGCCGCAGTCTTGCCTCGGTCGGTCCATTCCTCGGCGCCTGGGTGCCCCCATCCATACACGACGGGGTCGACAGTGCCTCTCAGGGCACGAGAGGCGTACACACTTGTTGGAGGCTGTTTTGGAAACGCACAGATGAAAGCAGCTGCTGTTCACGGATTTTTATCAAATTTATGCTGACACCCTGCCTGGTGCCAGGCGGTGAGCTGGGCGCCAGACACAGAGCCTTTGTTCCAGAACCAGCTCTGTTTGGGCTTCACTCGCTTTCGGGGTGGGGGAGTGGGGGGGTGGGGGGGGGCCCTTTCTGCTGATGCCAAGCAGGTGGGACTGGGGGAGGGGAGTCGGTGCCCTGCCTCCCCTCGGTGCCTGGCTTCTCCAGCAGGGAACTGGAAGAGTGGTGATCCAGTCTTGTCTGCATGCATGAGCTCCCAGCCTCGTCCCAGCCTGGTGGTCTTTCTCCAGGCGTCCACAGGATGGCCCTGGCCCTGACCCCAGGCGGCGATGGCCCCATGTCCACTCTTTGGAGATGTGACGTAGGGAGCGTGTGTGTCTGGCAGCCTGAGAGTTGGTCTGCATTTTGTTACCTTGATATTTCATGTCTCATGCAAGTTCCCTAACAGTCAGCTAGCTGAACCCTTTTCTTCTTCTTTTTTTCTTTTAATGTTTTTATTGATTTCAGAGAGGAAGAGAGAGGGAGAAGGAGAGGGAGAGAGATAGGAACATCAATGATGAGAGAGAATCACCGATCGGCTGCCTCCGAATGCCCCACACTGGGGATCGAACTTGCAACCCAGGCACGTGCCCCTGACCGGCATTGAACCCAGGACTTCTCAGTCCATAGGCTGACACTCTCTCCACCGAGCCAAGCCAGCCAGGGCTGTACCCTTTTCTAGAAGTTAACATTGGCCCTAACCGGTGTAGCTCAGTGGATAGAGCGTCGGCCTGCGGACTGAAGGGTCCCAGGTTCCATTCTGGTCAAGGGCATGTACCTTGGTTGCAGGCACATCCCCAGTGGGGGGTGTGCAGGAGGTAGCTGATTGATGTTTGTCTCTCATCAATGTTTCTAACTCTCTAACCCTCTCTCTTCCTCTCTGTAAAAAATTAAAATATTTAAAGAAAGAAGTTCAGGTTGGCACTCTGCTATGGGAGGGAAGGCTGGTCACTTAGGATCTACCAGTGCCGCTCTCCTCAGGGGAGAATGAATTGCAATAATCTGAGCGAGAAGTTTATTGGTGATGAAGCCAAGAACTCTGGGTTTCATCTCAGGAACGACCTTCCAGTGAGCGTTTCGGGCCGCCTAGAGGTGGGAGGGAACTGGACCGCCTTCTGCCTGTTGCCATGGGAGTGCTGTATTCTGCAAGCAGCTTCCAGGTGGTGGCTCACACTGTCCTTTTTATTCAGTGCTGAAAGACTGGGATAGAAGGAGTTTGGGGCCTTGTGCGCAAGTGGGAATCGGACCAGCGCTGCCCTTCCACGTGATGGATCCACAGTCGAGAGCTGAGTGTGGCTCAGGAAAGCAGTTCCTTAACCTGTTCCCAAGTCACTAAGGTTTTCAGTGCGTGCTTTTGTTCACTTTGGAATAAAATATCCACTCTGGCTGAAACCGGTTTGGCTCAAAGGATAGAGCATCCCAGGTTCGATTCCGGTCAAGGGCAAGTACCTTGGTTGTGGGCACATTTCCAGCAGGGGGTGTGCAGGAGGCAGCTGATTGATGTTTTTCTCTCATCGATGTCTCTAATTCTCTATATCTCTCCCTTTCTCTCTAAAAAATCAATAAAATATATATTAACACACACACACACACACACTCTGTGAAGAGAACCCGCAGTGAGGGTACCAGGAAACTGGGGGAACTTTGTAAGGCTTCTCCGCTGTGACTGGACTTAGTTACGGGGAGAGTGGCCTTGTGTCTGTTGAACTTGGGATTGTAACCAAGTGCCGGTATCAGGCAGCAGAGATAGAAAGTGGGACGTGATGGAGGAGGAGAGGTTTTCAGGGCAGGTCAGAGCTTACACTGAGAGAATTCAATGCTCGGGACCTCAGCTGCTCTGTGAGGTGAAACTTGGGTTAGAGTTGCCCATTTTAACCCTTCTGAGCTTGATCTTCGGTAGTCATTTTTCTGATGCAGCTTTTTACTAGTCAACATGTTTACCCGTGAAACAGAAGCAAAGTAACCATGGTGCACCTGTCCCCTAACAACGCCACTAGAGGACCATGGTACCCTGATGACATAAACACATGAGAAAACATTGGTAGATCGACTGGCAGAGTACATGGAGTCGATTTTGGCAAAGAAAACTGTAGAACACTCATTTTAAGCAAAATTCTTCCCCTGGGGCAAGGGAAGGAAAGGGAGAAAAAGAATTTTGGAGACTCACAGGCTTCGTTATAGTGTGCCTTCTCTTAGCTATCCTATAAAGTCCTCCGCGCGTGTTGGGAATCCAGTTTGGTCCAGAGAATCCTGGGAATTGAAAGAACCTTTCAGCTACTTAGAAAAATAAATAAAACTTATCAAAGATTTATTGAACAACAGCCAGGTGACCGGCATTGCGTAGATTTGAGGAGATACAGAATTAAGTATTTTCCCTGCTGGGGATGAGGGCAAACTTGATGGAGAAAAGAAAGGACTGTTCACATTGATCAAGAAATGACCAGGCCCTCGCCATTTGGGTCTGTGTTAGAATATTGTCCTCCGACTGGAGGGTCTCTGGTTCGATTCCAGTCAAGGGCACATACCTCGGTTGTAGGTTCCATCTCTGGTTCCGGGTTGAGATGTGTGTGGGGTAACAAATCAATGTTTCTCTTACATTGATGTTTCTCTCTTGTGTCTCTTCCCCTTCCTTCCTCTAAAAATCAATGGAAAAAATACCCTGGGAGAGGATTAACAACAACAAAATGATCCCAACCTTTGCCAATAGGTACATCATATTGGCTCTCGGTCCATATTTTCAATTATTATTTTTATTTTACAAAATTTTACTATTTTCCTTCCCTAGTTTATGGAGAGAGAATTCCTGTGATTTGTTTTCTGCCAAGAATAATCTGCCCTGCCAGTTTGGTTCAGTGGATAGAGTGTCAGTCTGTGGACTGGAGGGTCCCTGCGGACTGGAGGGTCCCCGGTTCGATTCTCTTGAAGGGCACATGCCCAGGTTGTAGGCTTGATCTCCAGTAGGGGGCATGCAGGAGGCAGATGATGGATGTTTCTCTCTCATCATTGATGTTTCTACATCTCTCTCCATCTCCTTCCTCTTTGAAATCAATAAATATATACATATATAAAAAGAAGAATCATCTTGGAAAAATTAGGTTTGTTTTTGTTTAGGCTCTGTGTCTCCTTACGAATGTGAGGAGCGAATGTCATATTCAAAATCCCCGTGAATTCGCAAACTCCATGTTTGTGGGTGTGGTTACATTTGTATCCCACTCTTTGAGGTTCACAGCCCCTCTCCCTTCTCATCCTTCAAATCTGAACTTTAACATTATTTCATTGAGAGCTTACGTGGGGTATCTCCCTCCAGACTACCAGTTCCTAAAGGGAGGAATAGTCTCTGACCTTGAACCCCAGTGCTAAGTGTGGTCAGGCACCTTGGATTTGTGGCCTGGCTCTGTCTCAGGTCCTCTGCTGTGTGCCCTTGGGCAAGTGCTTAACTACTCAGTTTTCTCATCTTACAGCAATGCCACCTCTCGTGGTTATGGAGATTAAAGGAAGATGCATATGAAATGCTTAGCAACAGAGTTATGGCATACAGTATTAAATAGGGCAGGAAGTTAAGGGGTTTCCACAGGAGTAAAAAGGTTTATATTGGAGCTCAGTATTCAGATGCTGAGGAAGAGGAAGCCCAGGTTTCTGAAATTAGAATGCATAATTTAATCCCAGTGGTCGGCAAACTGCGGCTCTCGAGTCACAGGCAGCTCTTTGGCCCCTTGAGTTTTTAGCAAAGGCCAGCTTAGGAGTACCCTAATTAAGTTAATAGCAATGCACCTACCTATATAGTTTAAGTTTAAAAAATTTGACTCTCAAAAGAAATTCTAATCGTTGTCCTGTTGATATTTGGCTCTGTTGACTAATGAGTTTGCCGACCACTGGGCTAGTGCCTGCTTACCTAGTTCTCCAGGCTCACCTGTCCTGCGCGCACCGGCCCTGGGCCCCCGTCTACTGAACCTGCTGAACTGAAAGAGCCCTGTTCTCTCCACCTTCATTCAAGCCTTTGTCTTTGCTGGTCCCTCTGCTGGGACCTGTGCCTCCACCTCTACTTCAGTCTCTAGGTCACAGCTTACCAGCACCCCCTGGGGTTCATTTCCATCCCCTTCTTCTTTCTTTTCATCATACTCAATCACGCTTGATTTTTCTTTTTAATGTTTTGAGGGAGAAATATTGATTTGTTGTTCCACTTACTTATGCATTCTTCCATTGCTTTTTAAAAATATATACTTTTAATGATTTCAGAGAAGAAGGGAGAGAGAGAGAAACATCAATGATGAAAGAGAATCATTGATCGAATGCCTCCTGCACGCTCCTCACTGGGGATCAAGCCCACAATCTAGCACATGACCCCTCGGTCCACAGGCCAATACTCTATCCCCTGAGCCAAACCTGCTAGGACACTTCCATTGCTTCTCATATGTGCCTGACTGGAGATCGACCCCAGGATCCTGGTGTATTGGGATGATGCTTAAACCAACTGACTACCGGCCAGAGCCCTCAATCACGCTGGAAATTAGCTTCTTAAGATCTGTATTCCTGGCTAGACTGGGAGCTTTCTAATAAGCTTTGCAGTTTTTCAATCCAAGAGTTTAGGAGAAATTAGGGGTTTCTTAAGGTTTCCTTAATTTCTGGGCCTTGTAAGTATTGCATTGTCTAAAGGACTCCTGTGTGTACTGTAAACTTTACTTGGGTTTGTAAAGAAAATACCAGGAGGTTTGTTCCCACATACTGCGTGTGTAAAACCTCATTCCCAGTCCTTCCTGGTGATATCCTAAAAGCTTGTTAGGTGAGAGTGTTAATCCATACAGTCTTCTCCGTCTCTCTCCTCTCACCTGGCTCTCTCAGCTGGAAGGTACTAGGTTCCCATTCCTGTTCCTAATTAAAAAAGTGAATGAACCTCCAGGAAAAAAGCTCCCACGCCCCAGCTCGTAAGGAGTGAATCTTGTTGGTCCACGTTAAACTGATGCAATTTCCAGTAGTGGAATTGCCAGCATTTGGACATGAAGGTAGGGAAACTCTTTTCAGACTCTCCCTGGGTCATTGTTCTGAGTAACAGCTTTCCTATAATTGGTGAAGACATGGTTTTAGTTACACTTGCCCTGTGGGGCGCGGTTACAAAGATACTGGCTCACAGTGCACACCGCTGCCCTTACTTAGCTAAGGGTTTGTTGTAGGCGCTCTGAGTTGCCTGGCTGCTGCCTGGATTACCCTGTGGAGTGACCACTGGGGCCTGGAAAGCCCAGGCCGTGCGTCGGAGCTATGCCCAACTCGCCCCACAGAGGTCTCCCTCCGTCCGCTTTCCCCGAGCAGAGCTGGCTTTGCCGAAACGGCCAGCGCTAATGGCTTACTGTAAATTGGATCCTGTGTCGTTAAGACTAGGATAGCAGATGGCTGGGGGCTCAGCTGTCTGCCAGGATAAGTGGGTGGAACTAGGAAAAAAAAGAGAGAGAGAAGAAATGGGTGGGGGTAGGAAATGGAAACCACTCCCGTGTTATTTTTAACGCACCTGTAGAAATACAGAACGTCCTCCAGCTTCCTCCCAGTAGTATTTCCCCCTCAGCCTGACCCCCTTCCCTGGGGCTTAAGTCAGTGTTGCTTATTAGTTGCCCCAGCAACTATGGAAAGCTGGGAGAGTGATTGCAAGAAGGGCCTGATGGTGCCCTTCCCGGTGGCCGCAGAGGCCGAAGCCACTCTGACTTGCAGCTGTCAGTTGCCTGGGTTCCGAGGCTCCTGAAGTGCCTCAGCTCAGCGCAGGGAGCTCATGAACTTGTAGCCAATGTGAGACTGGCTTTATTTATCTAGTTATTTGTTTTGGAGGGAATAAAACACGTGTAAGCCACAGTTGGGTAGTGGGGATGTGTTATAAAATAAAAAAGAACTCAGGTCACAAATAATGGGCACTTTCTAATTTAGAGAGGGAAGGAAAAGAAAACCCACTTCCACCAGGAGCAGTAAATGCTGACGGTTCATCTTATCTTCATTTCAAAGCCAGTCTGCCTGGCGACCTCTGCCCTGGAAGAACTAAGGAAAGGAAGTTGATGTCCTGTTATCGGTGTTTGTCAGAAGTGGGACTGGGGAGGGGGTTGCTTCCTGGAAGACCTTGCAGTATCCAGGAGCCAGATTGCCAGGGGGCTAGGAGCTTGCCCCTCACTCAGTCCCCTTCCAGTCCACGTTTCAGAGCCTAGAGAAGAGGCTTGGCACCTTCTAAGTGCTCATATCTCTCTCTGATTAATTGCACCTCCGTCAACCTTCCCTGTTTTGTTCACATGAGTTTGTATTTGCAGCCCTGAACTTAAATAAAGGGGAAAAAAAATCATAATTCACTAACAGATCAACACAATTTGATTCCGTAGTGCTGGCAGCTTCGGATGGGAGAATACTGTTTTTCTTCTTTGAGACCTGAACTTGCTCCTTGGGCAAAACTCTTCTTAGCTTGTCTCACCACCAGCCAGGCTAAAACCCTCAGACCTTCACAGAAGCTGCCTTGGTTCCTCTAAGCTCTCTTGTTTGGGGGCCACATTAATTAATTTTGTAAGAAGTGAGTTTGCGATGTGGTTGTTGCTGTGGCTGAAAGAAGTTCTCTCTCGGAAGACATTGAAAGTCGCCCTGAAAGCTGTGCTGGCAGCAGCAGAGGTTGCCCGTACAGATGCCCGTGCAGAGTCTGCTGGGCTTCCAGCCTGCGGGTTCTGCTCGTAGTGTGAGGCATTGTTTTCCTCCGCGGAAACCCGAATGGTCAGCTTTGCTCCAGTGAAGTCGCCTGCTGGAAAGGAGATGGATAGAGTCAGCTTCCCTAACGCTCCTGCCCAGTGCTCCCGCCCTGGGCTCCCTGCTGTGAAGCCAGGCTAGGCTGTCTGGAGCTGAGGGCTGGCCTGAAAGGCCTGGGGGAGGTGAGATCTGAGGCCAGTGCGCTCAAACAATGTTGGATAAATTGCAACAATTTTCATTTCAGCAGTAGTAGCCCAGGGGCAGTAAATACTTAATCCTTTCAACTTAATCATCTGTTTGAATGTTGCCTTAGTATCTCTTAAGGTAAGAATGAAGCTAGATTACAGGGAGTAATTAGCAGTATGTTACAGAATTGGTGTTTGCATCTAGTTGGAATACTGCCAGCTCCTATCACCTGATTTAGAAATGTCCTAACTTAGTCCTCCAACACTGCCTGCTTTTCCCCTGCAGCTGTGGGCCAGCAGCTAGAGGGCCATCGCCACTTGGCTGGGAGGGTTCCTGCGGGGAATGAGGTGGGCAGTGGTGGCACATGCTACACAGATCCAGGCCTTTGTGCTCTTAATCTCCCTTGGAAAACGGCCTAGAATCCGAAGCAGGAGGGCACTGGATGTCAGCGGCTTTGTTTGAGAAGCACTTCAATGTGGCATTTGTGTCTTGAGAACCAAGAAATGCCACATTGGCAGAGATCTGGGGCCCGTCCACCCAGCAGCTGTCTCTGACAGTGGGCACCGAAAGGTGATTTGTGGGGAAGCGTTCCGCTGGCAGCCTCCTGGGCTCCGTGGTGTGATGCACCCCGGATCTCTGGCTTCCTGTCACAGTCCGTGTGGGTATGTTATCCAGGAATGTTTTAAAATCCTTCTTGAAACTATTCACATGTGCCAGCTCTCAGAGTGACACAGTCCAGAAGTCAGCACTTACTGTATGCCCAGCACAATACTGAGCATTGTGGAAGATACAAATGATGCTTAATGCTTGGTCCCTACCCCTGAGTTTACACGTTTTTGAGAAGATAAGGCTCAGTTGCAATTTGTAGAAAAAGATGGCCAGTGATATCAGATGTCAAACGCCAAGCAACCATGAATGGATCAAGTTCACAGTAACAGAGCTCAGAGACTGGTGTTTAAAAATAGGATGACGTATTATTAATAACCTATCCCTGGCTGGTTTGGTTCGGTGGTTAGATGGTTGGCCTGTGGACTGAAGGGTCAGGGGTTCAATTCTGGTCAAGGGCATGCACCTCGGTTGCAGGTTCTATGCCCAGCTCTGGTTGGGGTGCTTACCGGAGGCAACCAATCAATGTATCTCTCTCACATTGATGTTTCTCTCCTCCTTCATTCCACACTCTCTTAAAATCAATGGGGAAAAAATATCCTTAAGTGAGGATTAACAAAAAAGAAAGAGAAAAACACAACTATCAGACAGACTGGACACTATGTTTTCTCCCTTGTGTGAATCCACTGGGAAGCCAAATGAACAATCGGTGAATTCGACAAACAGCCCAGCACAGCCCATCTTCGCTGTCCCTAGGAAAGACCGCCTTTGTCTTTCCGATGAGTCCTGGTCCTTTTCATGTGGTAACATTCAGCCCTAGCCGTCCAGCCCTGTCTCTGAGATATCTTTGCACATCTCTGCTCTGTCCATACTAGGTGCTTAAGAGTTGATTGCTTGAAGGTAATTCTTCTTTCCTAAATATTTTGAGAGGAGGCACCTGTATGGAATATTGATTCCTTCCACTCATATGCCTCCTATATATGCAGCAAACAGTACAAAACGATGTAGGATGAAGAGCTGAATTGTGTAATGTGGGCTCTCTGAGCCAGGAGAACAAGTCAGAGAGGTCAGCGTGGGCGGGAAATGCTGACGAAGCCGTCTGTGTGGCCAGAGAGGGACTTGTGTTCGTACTTGAAAAAGTAGAAACTAAGGGAAGAGAAGATAAGGAAGCAGGAAGCAGGAGTAAACCTGGGGGAATAGCATTCTCATGTTCCGGTTGCCCCTCCTCAGGGACGCTCAGCCCCGGCCTTTCTGCAGTGTGGGCAGTGGCCGGCGCGGTGGGCATCCTGACCTCTGACCTAGGAGCGACCATCTGCCCTCCTGGGTGTCGATGTCCGCATGGTAAAGAGGACACAATGCCACCTGCTTGTGGTTTTTTTTCGGTGGGAAGGATTAAGTGAGAGAATGAACTGGAATGTTCTAACGCATAGCAGGAGCTAATTAAATGTCAGCTGAATGAATGGGGTTGATTTCTTTGGGAAGACATTTATCCTGATTTATAGGTTGCTGAGTTCCCTGTGACTCCTGTGGTGGTCGAAGGGACCCTGTATAGCAGTAATAGCATGGTTTACTTACACACAAGCGTCAACATAGCGTGTCACAGACTTCCGTGTTATTCACCCTGGGCCACTGTGGTTTTCTTTAAGTGATCCCATTCACCCTTTAGAATCTTTTTTTTTTTTTTTAATTGTAGTTTTTTTTGTGTGTGTTTTTTTTAATATATTTTATTGATTTTGTACAGAGAGGAAGGGAGAGAGATAGAGAGTTAGAAACATCGATGAGAGAGAGTCATCGATCAGCTGCCTCTTGCACCCCCCCTACTGGGGATATGCCCGCAACCAAGGTACATGCCCTTGACCAGAATCGAACCTGGGTCCTTCAGTCCCCAAGCCGACGCTCTATCCATTGAGCCAAACCGGTTTCGGCTCACCCTTCAGAATCTTAAAGTTGTTGCCAAATATTTCAATCCTAACCAGTTTAATTTTCTCCCTGATAGGTGCGGAATGGTCACATCAAAAGAATCACTGATAACGACATCCAGTCCCTGGTGCTGGAGATCGAAGGAACAAATGTCAGGTAGGTGGGACTCCGTTTTCCAAGGAGGCCGTACCTCATGGAGGTGAAGGCACAGGCTGTCTGGTCAGGCCACCTGGTGGGAGTCCAGCTCTGCTACTTAGAGTTTACCTTGGCAAGTTACTCCCTCTCCTTGGCCTTAGTTTCCTCATCTGTGAAATGGGGATAACAGCAGTATATCTTTGTGCAGATTAAATGAGTGAGTGTGGATAAAACACTTAGAATCTGCTTAGCACATGTTAAGCGCTGTGCAAGTATTAGATATTATTAATATTTAACCAAGATGTGTGTGTGTTGGGGGTGGCCACTGTGGGCTTTGGTGCCAAAATGGTCTTGTTTTGGCTTTCTATCATTTTTTGGTTCTCTTGGACCAGAAGTATCGATAGATCTCCTATTGGAAGCACTGCCTCAGATACACGTCTGGTTTTGCTTCTCAGGTATTTTATTGTTGGTGTCTAGTCCTATTGAGCTTTTGTTTCAGAGTCCAGCATTTTTTTTTTTTAATTACTCAAGAATATGTTCTTATTGATTTTTAGAGAGAGAGGAAGGGGGAGAGAGAGAGAGAGAAAGAAACATCAATCAGTTGCTTTCTGTATACGCTCCGACTGGGAATCGAACCTGCAACCCAAGTATGTTCCCTACCCAGAAATCAAACCCTCAATCCTTAGGTGTTCAGGATAATGCTCTAACCAGCTGATCCACCTGCCCAGGGCCAGAGCCCAGCTTTTTTTTAAAGTATTAGCTGACTAAGGGTGAGGGCTTCATTGGCGGATGAATCTGGAACTAGTGGATCTGCCTTTCGCTTTACCTCTTCGGCCGCGGGTTGCTGCTGTGCTTACACAGAGGGAAAGGCCAGCAGTGTGTTCATTGGCATTTCCTTCTCCTCAGCACCACGTACATCACGTGTCCTGCAGACCCGAAGAAGACGTTGGGAATTAAACTTCCATTCCTCGTCATGATTATTAAAAACCTGAAGAAATATTTTACTTTTGAAGTACAGGTGAGTGTGTGCACGTGAACGTACATATTTGTGGCGGTGCCAGAGAGGTGTCCCACCAGCCTGTAGGACAGTGCCTCCTTTTCTGCCTGAGCCGTAAATATATATGGTATTAGCAATCATAATTTAATGCCGAGTTTTTAAAGAAACGGTAAATTTATCCATAGCAATAAGATTTCAAAACTTATGAGTTAGAATAGTGTTCATTTGGGGAGTACCCATTTAAATACTGGGTTATTGTTGGTCTCTATCCTAGTGGCTGCCTCCTGCACGCCCCTGTGCGGGATCAAGCCACACTCAACCACTAAGCCACACCGGCCATGCTATTTCTATATTTTTTATTTTCCAAGGGAAGAATGTTTATGAAGTCATTCTATGGCCTGAGAGCCTGGTGGGTGGGTGTGCCATATGTCATAAGCAGCTAGCGTTGTCTTGGCAACAAATTAGATACACTTGCTCCTTCCAGGCCATCTGCATCCAGAGTGACCTGTGTCCGGCCTGTTCATCCTCCCTTGGGCCTCAGCCCCGGGCGCCAGGGCGGTGGAAGTTCAGGGCCTTGCCTTACAGATTGCCAGCTTCTTCCAGGGTGGAGGGGGCGTGACTCCTGTCTCCATCTCACAGGTCCTCGATGACAAAAATGTGCGCCGGCGATTTCGGGCAAGTAACTACCAGAGCACCACGCGGGTCAAGCCCTTCATCTGCACCATGCCCATGCGGCTGGATGACGGCTGGAACCAGATCCAGTTCAACCTGTCCGACTTCACGCGGCGGGCGTACGGCACCAACTACATCGAGACGCTGAGAGTGCAGGTGCCAGGCCCTTTCCGGATGGAGCCCCGTGGGACGGGGGTGCTCTGTCACTGGACCAGGCCCCAAGCGCAGGGCTCTGCTTAGAGACAGCGGGAGACCTTGGCAAGCAAACCCTCTCTTGTCAGAATCCGCCCCCGGCCAAGCGGGACGCCAGGGGGTGACGCTGCGACAGCACCGCGGGGTGGGGAGCTCTAGGAGGCCCGGGGGGTGAGGAAGGACAGTCCCGTGGAGTTTCTCAAAATAAGCCTGGCGCCCACAGATCCACGCCAACTGCCGCATCCGCCGGGTTTACTTCTCAGACAGACTGTACTCAGAAGATGAGCTGCCAGCGGAGTTCAAACTCTACCTCCCGGTTCAGAACAAGGGGAAGGTAAGCACCGAGGCCCAAGGAAGGCCCGGCGGTGGGTCGGAGGCCATGTCCTGGGAAGCCTCTGCCCTGGGTCGGCTGCACGGCCTCTGCGTTGACATGGAGAATGGGGCGCCTTTCCACCTAAGACCTAAGTCTTCCCCTCCGTCAGCACAGATCAGGCATGAGCCTGGGAAGGGTTCTGCTGTGCTCCTCCCTCCACAAGTGATCCTGCCCCTCCTGGGGTTCGGGGTGCAGGGAGTCACAGGCACCCCATCAAATCTCTATTTAAAAACGCTCACCGGAGGATATGTTTTAGAGTGAAAGGAAGGGAGAAGGGAGCGGGGAGGGGGGAGAATCATCGATGTGAGAGAGCCACATGAATTGGTTGCCTCCTGCACATGCCCGACCAGTGCTGGTCATCAAACTGCAACTGAGGTACGTGCTCTTGACTGGGAATCGAACCCTTAACCCTTTGGTCCCCAGGCCAACACTCTAACCACTGAGAAAACTGGCCAGGGCCCATTGAACTCTTTCTCAGCCCGTGGCTCTCCTCTGACACGACGGCAGCACTCCCTGCCTGCTGCTGCTGTCGTGGCACTTCCCGCAGCTCAGCCTCCGTGCCGGAGTCGGGGACCAGGGCACGGACCATCTCTTTCTGATAACTCCAACTGATGCCTCTCTTTCCCCTCAGCAATAACTGGAATGCAACTCAAGGGATAGACCCTGGACCCGACTCTTAGTTTTAAAGGAAACTATCTGGAGGACAATGCAGAAAAACAAATATTTCTATTAGTTCACTGTGCTGTGGTTCTTTTGTCTGCTCCTTGGTGTCCCATCGTGGACACAGTGACACGCCGTGCGTGACGCCTCGTAAGTACAGTGGGGAAGCGGGGCTCCTGGCGCTGATCCCGCTGCCACCCAGCGCGTGGGGATACCTGACCACGGGCTCAGAATTAAAGGTGTCCATTCAGACCAAAACCTCTTTCTACGGTTTGTTCTTTGTTTTATATATGATCTAAATATATGTATATGCTTGTAATATTCATAATCTGGAAATGAATAAAATGTTATATTCTTGGTTTGTACATTTGTTCTTAGTTTGTGTCTTTTGTAATGGTGACAATTTTCTTTGTGGTATGAAAATAGAACTCTTTCCAAAGACTGGCCCATGCATTCGTGCTGTGCAGCAGCTGGCAGTGAGCGCTCAGAGCGAGGCTGATGTGTAGATACTGACTTGGAACTACTTGGAAGATGGGCAAGTGGAAAACCCCAGGGATGGTGCAGGCCCAAGAGGCGTCTTCTTGGGCTCGGGTCCTGAGTCACTGAGGACCGAGCACATCTAGCCCCCTTGCTTCTGTACCACCTCCCTGCTCAGATCCCACAGGAAGTGCCCGCCTGACTTAGGGAAAGTGGCTGCTTTAAGCACAAATCACGTGAGAGAACTGACACCTCCCACCACTTGCCCACTCACACTCCGGGGCGTGCTCCTTAGACAGGTAACCGGATTTACGGAAGTGAAACCCTTCGGCTGCGGCTCTGCATGTGGGCCATGCCTGGGAAGCATTGGGCGCGGACAGGAGCACCTGTAGGTCTGTCTAGATGACCTTGAAGGACACACAAGCTAGCGCAGTGATTGCATCTGGAGAGAGGGTTATGGGATGGCACGGATGCTTGGTTGTAGGCTGAAGAATATTTTTGGAAAGGTGACATTTACGGAATAGAAACCTGGAACCAAGGAACCAAGGGCCATCCTAGGTACCGTTCCCCCTTCCACAGGAGAGGCTGGGGTGGCGGAGCCGCCTCGGCTGTGATGAGAGGTGAAAGCGTGTGCAGTGCCAGTCGGCAGTGAGGACTGCCTTCGGAGAAGTTCAATGGGGAGGCACCTGCTCCGGATCCTCCTCGGAGTCTGCTCCGGGCAGCATGGCCGTGTCCCCGGAGGCAGGGCTGCGGGAGGGGAGGGTGGGCGAAGGTGCCCCTCTCTCCCTCATGACTCAGTTCCATTCCCCTCTGTCGTCCGCTGCCTGGCATGTAGGTGGGCTCAGCTGATACTACTCGTCCTTCGTCTCCTGCTGACAGCCAGCCTGGAGCCCCTGCCCCGGGGCCGCCTGTCCTGTGAGAGCCACTTTCAGGGCCAGCCCCGTCACGTCTGAATGTGGTCCGATTCCCCGTCCCCCATTCCTCCCTTAGACTCCGCGGGTCTCCGGAACTTTCTGGATTTTTTTTTTTTTTGGGGGGGTGGGGTCTGGGATTTCACAGATCCGCTTGTCCCTGGCCACGTGGAGCGGGGTCTTCCTTCCCATCTGGGGTCCGTTCTGGGATGAAAGATGCTTTTGTGGAGTGGGAAGCGGGTTAACTCCTCTCCTTTGGTGCCGGGTGTCCGCGAAGTGCCCCGGAGCCCGGGAGAGACAGGAAGGCGCGCTCTCCACACACAGCCCCTTCACCGCGCTGCCAGGCTATGTATGGCCATTACCTCACAGCCCTCCGGGGGAAGGAGCAGCTGCTGCCTTTCCAGATGCTTCTCAGCCTCCCGAGAGGAAGTGAGGGGGCGTCAGGGCGATGCCATGAATTATCTAAGCTGGCCCCGGTGGCTGCCCGGCCCCTGGCCCTCGCCTCCTAGCTCACCAGGAAGATGGCTGGTGAGGCCACAGGAGGGGGAGGGAAGGACAGGTTGGGGCCAGAGGACCTCAGACTGGAAGCTGGAGGGGCAGGTGCCATATTCAGCTCCCAACCGTCATGGCGCTTCAGAGCTGCCACCTTCCCAGCGAGAGTGACAGGTGCACAGCCACTCCCAACTGGGCTCCTATTTGCCACTGGCCCCTGGGCTGCCTCCCTGCAGCCAGGCCAGCTCCTGCCTGGGCATCTGGAGGAGACAAGTGAGCACAGAGAACCCTAGCGGGCTTCCCTGGCCCCTCAGCAGCTGGAGCCAAAGCCTCGGGGTCGGAACTCACCGGGAAAGGCTTTGGATCTCTGAGCCCCCTCGCGCTGGCGGCTCCATCACTGAGCCTGCAACCTGGGCACATGCCCTGACTGGGAATCAAACCATGACCTCCTGGTTCATAGGTCAACGCTCCACACCATTTTTAAATAGGCAAAAGGCTATATTCTAGGATGCATTTATAAGCGACAGCCTCGAGTGACAGGCAGGGGACATGTCTCCAAGCTCAGGAGAGGGCTTCACCTATAGCATTGGGAGTGGGGGTCACAAGGGACCCGAGAAGCCCTTCAGGGGGTTCCCAGGACACGAGGCTTTATTTCCTACCTGGGTCCTGTCACACCCGGTGTGTGTGTGTGTGTGTTTCAGTTACAAACACCAAGCTATTCCTCCCATCATGCTCCTCCCTTTCAAACACTCCCACTGAGGTGCCTGTGCCCCGGCCTGTTACCACGCAGGCTTGGGGGGGCCCAGCTCATTAACATGCAGATTCTCTTGCAGGAGATCTAAATCCGGCCCAGAAATCTACATGTGTAACAGCTTCCCCCGAGGACTGGGGATGTCTCCGGCACTTGGGAAGCTGCTCCAAACTGGAGGGAGCAAGAACCGCCAGGACAGCTTCCGAGGGCAGGATGCTGGGAGGGAAGGAGGCACACAGTGGCCCGGCACCTCTGCAAGCTCCCCCGGCCCCTCCCCGAGCCCCTGCAGCTCCCTTCCTGCAGAATCCTCCTGGTGAGTGGCGTCTCCACACCCTTTCCCGAAATGCAAACCACCGGGCGCTCCCGCTTGTAAACCCACGAGGCATCGGACATCTGGGTGGAGCGTGAGCCTTGGAAAAAGTGTGCCTCTTGGTATCCATGGTGTCTGAAGCCAAGCAAAAAAATAAAAAGGCTGCAGGGCGGAGGGGGAGTGGGGGGGATGTGGAAACACTTTGCACAGACCCTTCCTACAGGGTGGAGGCCGTCACGGGAGCTGCCTCATCAACAAAACTAGCCTGATGGTAGATCAAGTGTGTTATCCTATGTAATAAAGAGCTAATATGCTGTAATTACCGTTCAGGAGGATGCGTGCGTGTGCATGGCAGGGCGAAGCCACCGAATTGCTCTGGCCCCGAGGAGGCAGACCGGCCTGAGGCGACTCACGGGGCCAGAGGTGGGGCTTGCAGCAGCCAGAGAAGGCCGGAAGGGTCAGGATGTTACTGCATGCACGGGGGTCATAGCTCTGAGGCCTCTGTCATCCTTGGACTTCCCCCAGCACTTTTCCATGAGGTCTCCATCATGAACCCCGGTGTTTGGGGAGGGAGGGCGGGCGGGGATACAGGAAAGCCAGTCCAGACAGGAGAATAGGTCCACGCACTCCAGCCTTTGGGGTCCGAGTCGCCCTCCAAAGCCGCCTCGACTGCCCTCGTGTTCACCCTCCCAAGCCTGGGACCTCTTTTTTTATTTTATTTTTTTAAAATATATTTTATTGATTTTGTACAGAGAGGAAGGGAGAGAGAGAGAGAGTGAGAAACATCGATGAGTGAGTCATCGATCAGCTGCCTCTTGCACACCCCCTACTGGGAATGTGCCCGCAACCAAGGTACATGCCCTTGACCCGAATCGAACCCGGGACCTTTCAGTTCCCAAGCCGATGCTCTATCCATTGAGCCAAACCGGTTTCGGCGGAACCTCTTTTTTTTAAAAAAATTTTTGTTATTGATTTCAGAGAGGAAGGAAGAGGGAGAGAAAGATAGAAACATCACTGATGAGAGAGAATCATCGATCGGTGTGTGAGCCCGCAAACTGGGCATGTGCCCCTGGCCAGAATCGAACCTGGGACCCTTCAGGCCGCAGCCCGATGCTCTATCCACTGAGCCACACCAGCCAGGGCCTGCAACCTCTTTTCTTGGTGTTGGAAAACGGCCCGAGCCACCACGTGCCTCTCAGGTGCCTGCCGCCCTCAGGGAGCGCAGGCGAGAGCGGTCACTGTCCCCCTCCCAGCGGGCTGCCCGGGGGTGGGCTACGAGAGCGAATCTCAGCCACAAGTTCAAACCCGACCAGCGCCCTTTCTCCCGAGATAGCAGACGCTGCTTTTCCCCCAGGGACCGGTCCTCTAACACCCGCTGGGGGACTGTCCTACAACCCAATTCTGACACCATCCACCTGGAGTTAGACCCCAAGGGTTCAAGGGCCCAACAGACTGCCCCCTGCACTTCCGTCCCCAGACACAAGGTGCAAGGCCACGCCTGTTTGGGCTGGCTTTACCCTGGCCATTTCCAGACCCTCTGTACCCTCCGGAGGGCCAATCGCTTGCTGCTTGGCCCACTCAGCTGATGGCCCCAGTTGATGACATGGCAGAGGAGAGGAGAGGATCCAGACAGCAAGCAGCTGAGGAGAGCAGTAGGGTACAGTCCAGGAGAGTCCCGAGGGCGGAGCTTCTGCCCCCATGGAGTGGGGGTGCGCCTCGGCCCAGGCACGTGGGTGTTTATCAACCCCGAAGCTCCCACCCTGGCACTGGAGGGCCTTTCAGGGGCTCCGTCACACAGGCAGGGTCAATGATTAACTCCGCTCCAGCCTCTCCCCTCCCTGGAGGAGGAGGAGGAGTGTGGCCGAAAATTCCAGGCTTCTCAGCACAACTTCTGGTGACCAGCCCCCATCCAGAGGCCACCCCAGGGCGGGGAGGGGGGCTGGGAGTCGCTGATGAGAACAAAAGGCTCTCCTATCACCCGGACATTCCAAAGGATTAGGAGCTGTGTCAAACCCCCAGGCCCAAAGAGGCTCTAG